GAGGACCCTGAGGAAAAAGACTAGGGAAGAATGATGGTAAAGGAAGAAATAGTAGACAGTGGAAAAAAACAAAAAGCACATACATTTTCAAGAATAATTAAATATATAATAAGCATGTAACAGTAGAAGGAAGGTATTTAGGGGAAAGAAGGCAATTTTTTAAAGAGCAGAAATTTCAAAACAGAGTGGTGTGGAGGCTTGTGTCTGATTGTGCAGACTTCAAAATTAACTGAATAGCATCTTCCATGAGAATTAACTTGTCCATTTTTAGTTAAATCACTTTCTATAGTAAAATTCCTCAAAGGAAAATTATAAAATAGAGCTTATATATTGGAAGAGCTGCAACCTCAGTGTTGAGGAGGTTTCAACTTTTCCATACTGTATCATCTGCCTTATCATTATATTACATTTTGAAGTTACAAATGTGACATTTTATAAGAAGTGAATGCTTACAGCTTAAGACTGCAGAGGTACTGTGCCCCTCATTTCATTGTCAGGCAAACAACATGAAATGTTATCTCCTGTTTCTGTTCAGAATATACATAGTATTTTCAAATAGCTGTAATGAATAATATTTGTTTTGCAATGACTCATATGTGTGCACTTATTGAGACTTTCTTACACATCCTGTATCTACAGACATGGCTGAATGGTAGGACTGTACTGGCTTGTGGTACTAAAGCCTCTATAACGTGTCCCAGATTCACAGGGTACTCACACATATCCAGTTATACACTTGAAACTGATTTAACAAAGCTGACATACAAATCTCACAAGAGCATGATTTGCCTATTGATGCTGCACCTGAAAAGCCTTGCATGTGGCATTCTTTCCAGCAAGTAAGCGGAATATACGCAAATAAAGAAAGTTCATCAGATATCCCAGGATCAGATAGAGGTATGTGAAAAACCTCATACAGTTAAAACTGCTTGCCAAACTATGTCTTCTGAGTGCTGCCTCTAAACAGATACACAATAGTGGGGACTGTCATATCCCTGACCTAAACAGGCATAAATCCATTGGAAACAGTGGGCCTGTGCAGTGGACCTCATTAACCTGAAGACCCAAATTTGGCCCAGGGTATCAAAACTCTCTAATCTGGCTCCTCAACCAATACAGACTTAGGAGGAGACCTCTGCCTCTAGCAGGAAAAATTATTTTGCATGGCAGCTGCTACTAATCCCTTAGATACACACTGTTCCATGCACTTTGTTTTACTTTTTGGGTTGACAAGCAGAACTGAAACGTTAAGTTTTATGTCTATGTCTTTAGGATTATGTCTACCTAATTCCTACATAGAACAAAGAGCAAGTTACCATTTTGTAAAAACAAAACCTCATAAACCTTTGTCCTGGCAATTTTGTTATTTGAAACATATTACAAAGTCCAGTTAAAATGTATTGACAACCATTCTACGACTTCAAGAAGAACTAAGTCCAAGAGCTTCCCCACAATACAAATCGTGACTATTATAGCCCATTACTGAGCCGACAGCAACACACAATTACTGTGAAGCACTGTCTTCATAGACAATGACTTTACTCTTTACTTAATAGTTTTAAAATGTCATAGAATACAAAACTCACAAAAAAGAAAACACTGATGCACTCCAAGAAGAGACAGCATCAGAAGTAACATTCTACTTTGATTATTAGAGAGAAATGTTGGTCAGGAGATAAAATGAAGGAAATAACGGTCTTCAAATACTGTGACTGATTTTACAAAAATACGTTGGATTTCAGCAAAGTACAATGGAAAATTAACTCTTGGTAAGGTGAAGCATAAACAGGAAAATTCCCTTGAATGTGGTTTCCATGACACAAAGCAGATCTGTGTCATTAAAGTGTTTTCTTCTGCCTGCAACAAGATTTTATTTCTTCAGAAAAAGGGTATTTTTTCCTAAAGTTGACTTGATTTGGCTTTTTTTTTGCAAAAAATTGTTTCAGATATACTTAATCAATATTTAAAAGACGCATTTAGTCCACATAAACTGTTAAATCACTGGAAGGTAGAAAATGAGACAAATTTAAAAAAGAAAAAAAAAGAAAAAAAAGCTAGTCACAACTGATTCTTCATACTAGAAGATTTCTGATGATTTTTGTTAAAAAATAAAGTTCCAGGTTGCAATTCAAATTCAGCTACCAGCAACTTTTCATCACTTCCATGATAAATATCCTCTTGATTTTTGCTCTGGTCACTCCAGTCCTTTACTTTTCCGAGTTTTGCCAGTTTTCTATTCTTAATATAAATTGAAGAATCAGTTTTACAAGCTTTTGAGAGTTGCTGGAAATTTTTATTGTTTTTAACTGAATGGCTAAAAGATACTTTATTAGTACTGAGGTGGTTTTTTGATGTCTTTTTGTTGGGGTTTTTTTTTGCCTCCACGGCACATTGGGAAAACAGGACTGTGGACGCTTACCAAGTTTTACACATCTCTGTCAGTAAACTTGACATGAGAGTTGTTGCCAAGCAAGGGGGTAATAAGAGGTAAGATCATAATCATCGTGCACTTTCTTGATATGCTGTAATCAAATGTGGCAGATTTAGGATGTTCAGAAGGAACTGTGCTAGAATCTCTAAGCAAGCACTAATGGAAAGGTTAATATGATGGTAGTTAGCAGACACCAGCAAAAGCAGTTTGTCACTAGGACTGAATTTAAACCAGGCACATTCAAAGTCTTTAGCTCAAGGGGGCAATAAAAATATAGAATGGGTAGACTTAATACACTACTTCCTTTTTTATTGTCTAGCTACCAGAGGGTACCAATAATTTGTTATGTTTCATATTATATTTGGATGCATCTGTGAAATTCATTCGATAGAATAAACTCAAAGTATATTTTTATGCTAACAATACAGATTATACAAATGAAAATTGACAGTGACAAAAAGTCCTGATTTCTACAAAGAAGCCACATGAATTTTGGAAACATAAAATGAAATGGGCCAGCCCACAGTTTTAATATCTAAAACACTGATGGCATTGATGTACCTGCTGGTGTATGGTTCTAAAGAAATCTAAATTGTAGAACAAAAGCTGTCAGTCTTTCCCTCTTTTTTTATATGCAGCCATCCACACACAAAAGTGGCACGTTCTTAAAGCGATGGGGTTTGAATTGCGCGGCTTCTATTACTTATGCAAAATGGATGTTGAGCAGTCAAACTCCTATTCCTTTACACTGCAAACAAATCAATTAAGGTGGGTCTTATTCCAGTGAAAAAACATATAAAAGGATTTATGTGTGTTCAGTTCTGCAATTTAGATTTCAGTAAGATCACTTACTATCTGCAAAATTAGCACAACGTTGTCACATTAATTACAGTATTTAAAACCTGCCTATTTGAATTCAGCATCAGAGACCAATAGCTGATAGCTCTCCAGATTAAAGTTATCTGAATTTAGCCAGTGGGAGATACTATTCAAATAAATACCTCAAGAAGATGAAATCAAAAGCTCTGAAAATCACTGTAAAATCAACAGTGTTTACTCCAAGAAAGTAGAGGATCATACATTTTTAGAGCACAGATGGAAAACACCAACTTGAATATGTTTTGAAACACAAATTCCATGCTACCCCTTCTAAAAGAAGCTGTTTGTAGAAGCATGGTTTACATTAATCAGTACCTAACAATTTTACATACAACCTTTCTAAAATTCATTTGCATAATGATAATCCGCATATGGCAAGGTTTAAGTTATTTAAGCGGTGTTATATTTCACTATTTAGTCTTGCTTCACCACTGCTTTAGCAGTGAATCCTTATGGAGTGTAATACAGCTAATGAGGTAGCTTTTTAACTGAACAAACTGACAGGTCCCATATCTGCAGAGGCAGCTTGAAACCGTGCCCAACCTCTCGGCTTCCCAAGAGGCTTTTCAAAATTCAATAAATAACATCTGTAGGCGATGTTGGGTGCAGACCTAGCAGAGTGCGTCATAACACTGAGCTGGCAGAACAAAGAAACCATGACGACTGCCAAGTTTCCATGGCAACCGCTGCGAGGCTTGGAGAGTATAATAGCACATCAATCATTGTCCAAAAGAACTTCATTATCAGCAAGAAAAAAAACCCTTTAGGATCTGTTTAGTGTGCAATTGTGGGTTAACTCACCTCAAAGCCTTGCTCTCTAGCAAAAGTGGCAGCTTCCTGAAATAATAAAAAAAGAACAGTTAATTATAAAGTGCTAGATAATGAAGAAATAACACATTCTGAAACTCATTCAGCCAGTTTTCTTTTTACATGATTATCTCAATATACCCATATACAGTTGTTCAGTTCTGATAGTCACACCAAAGCTTCCCCCTCCTTCCTTCAAGACCGACAACAGTACAATGTCAACACACTTCACAAGTTCAAATAAAGAAGGTACAATATGTTTTTGCCAGGCGAGGAAAGTTACTTCTGGAGATAGGACTTTGACTAGGAAACCAGTACTTCAAATCCAGACAAACATCCTTTAGACATATTTTTAACTGAAATTGTAGCGTATCCCCATTTATCTATGGCACTTCATGGGATACAGGTTATCAAGCCATTTAAAAAAATAATTTGTCACCTACGGTACATTAAAAAACCAGGATGACAAAATGTGTTTGAACCCTTGCAGTGGAATCAGATGAGCATTTTAAAATACTCTTATGTCTTAATCACTGCTTTAGGCAATTTAGCTATGTTCTTTTGCTGAAAGAACAGAGGAAACATCAGGGTATCAGAATGTCCTCATTCCTTATTTATATTAACTGGAGCAATTAAAATCTGTTTTGAAATAAAAGCAAGGAGACAGAAGACAATAGCAATGTTTTTTCCCTTATTCACTTTCTACCTTAACATTGCAAATATTGCAGAAAGACCTCAAAGTCTTTATGTTTTTACTTGCATTTTTTGCAGATTATCTTTGCCAAGTGATATTAATAGAAGGATAAGTCTTGAGCCAAAATGGTGAGTTGATCCAACTAAACAAAAATAACTACTGTACCAAACCATTTAAGGCCAGTGTCCCCACGACAGCTTTTAATGCTGCAGAAAATACATACTTGTGGACCTATATGATCTGCCAGTTTGGGGGCAATATAAGAATTTGAAGTGGGTACAATTGATTATAACAACAGTAAGTTGAGGTTAATAAAATGTGATAAGCTGAAAAGCACAACTCCTCAGGCTGCTTCACTGCAGAAACATAAGGCTGACCGGGTTAGCCTTAGCTGATGTTGACAGAAAAACTGAATCATGGTCCTGACAATTGGGTGCGGGCAAGGTTAGCCACTTTGACAATTTACTTACAATTGAATTCCTTCTTGTACATCACACAGTCAATGACATTTGCTAGCCTGGCTGTCAAGAAGGAGTGTAGGGTTCAAAGATATCATGCAGTGTTTTCCTAAACCAGCATGTGATTAACAAAGCCTATGCTCGTATGAAAAAAGGAGCCTGCAAGCTTCCACTCTGAAGTGATGCACTTACAATGAACTGCAACACAATCAAGAAAGCCTCAAATGGGACCAGGACACAGAAATAAAATGAAAATAAGAGAAATAAGGGAGTGATAAAGGGGCAGAGAATAAGAAAATGGACTAAAAATAACGTACTGTTGCCAAATTGCTTCTTTCACCTCAGGTTTTTGGTTGTGCAATTGAAATTGGAAGTTACATTGATCTGTCCTAAGGGGATTTATTTAATGTCCCAGTGCAGCAGGACATTAACATCTGTGTTAAACTATTGTTTGGCCAGGAAACTGGACACCAGTACATTCTTACATCTGTGAAATAAAAACTATTCCAGTTAAGTAGTGTTTCCTTATGTGGGAGACTTTGAGAGAATTCATCTTAATTTTCTGTACTGGGGCACCCATGCATAGCACATGTGGCTTGAAAGACCCGTCCCTTCCACAAGAAAGAATAAATGATTGCACATTTGGTAAAAAGTATCTCATCTTCGGATTTTCCTGTTAGAGTGTCATCTTTTAGCCTGATCTGCTGCCTGGTTACATGAATAATGGTAGCTAGCATACAATCATAGATTTTCCTGCAATTGACCTCTTAATCTGAGAGTGTCTGAACACGTCAAAGAACAACAGCAATCTTAATTTTCTTCTCTCCTATCAACCAAACCACAGAATAACTCCTGAGTGAACAGCTTCTTTCAGTAAGGACTGTGCCTACAAACCCCTAAGAATCAGCCTCTCTCAGAATTACATCTCTTTAAGAATTAAGGCTTTTCCAGTAAAAAAGAAAATAAAGCTCAAACCACACGTTTGGAGACTACAGTTTGGCGTTTACAAAATGGTGAGAAATGTGAGGCAGGCCCTGAATGCCGGGGACAGTTCAAAGTAAATTAACCAGATAAAAGCGATGAGAACCTTTTAGTATCTATTCACAATAACAGTGAGAACAGGAAACAAGCAGACCCCATCTGTGCAGCCCTAGGGCACCTCACACTGAGCTCCACGTCTCTAATAAAGTAGTCAAGTTAAAATCTAAGTGGCTGTAACATGTGGAGACTGCTAGGGTTACAACGGCCAGCCAGGGCGTTCCCTGATGCAGGTGATAATCAGTATGATAATCACTATATTTACAGGCTTTCCATTTTATATCTGACATTGGAAATCACAAAGAAGGAGGGATTAAGGAAATAAACAACCTACACAGAAGCTTTACCGCTCCCCTGAGAATGCAGCATTTTCATTCATGCGTGACAGGCGACAACAGCAAAGCAAAACAGCGACAGAACAGAATTTTCTTAGGAGGCTTCATTTCACATCAGGAGTTCTTTCAGTTTTGATAAACTTTAGACATTATTCATTCATTACTCCAACTCAGCATTTTCAGAGCTGTTTTCCATTATTGTCTAGAACAGAACATCTCATTCCATAAAACCCTCTCCCCCACCTTTTTACTCTTTCTTACTACATATATTAAAACCTCACACTCCTTATTACATATAATCTTTTCACCAACCGCGACAGGGAATTTCTTGCCATATCACCTAAAGCAGAAATGGGATTTGTTATTAGTTATGAAACATTATTTGGCTCATGTAGTTTGGGGGAAAAAAAAATCCTAAGTACAATCAGGCTGAAAAAAACCTCGTTATTTAATGGGAGTAACACAATGTCACCAAAGTTAACACACACCCTCTCTTTGCACAATAGTGAGCAGTTTACACAGGAAAGCGAGATAAATTAAAGAGATAACAATAAAAAAAGACAACTTCCTTAGTACTGGCCTTGCTGTTATGTTAGAACTTGCTTGCTAGCCGAAAACTATTTTCATTCTTGCTTGTATTTTATTGCTCTTGGAGTCACAGTATTTAGTAAATGGAGCTGTCTGTAATCTACACTGGAGCTAATTGTAACAGGACTTGTTAAAATTCTGAGCCCTTTTATCACCAGCAATTCAAACTATTTGTTTATAAGTAAACAGAAACATACCCTCCAAACACAGAATTCATTAGCATCTGCATTCCTAGGAGTATTTGTTTGCCTCCTGCGTTAGAAGAATTTTATGATTATAGAGTTAAGATGGCTCAACTTCAATAATTGTACGTTCAGTTTGCCATAACACACAGAAGGCACACTATATATTAAATGTTCTCAACACATCCACATTTTTTTTGTTGGTACCACGGTTTTATGATGACTTGATCGAATTATAGCCAAAATGGTAACAACATGCATGTTGGGTTAAATTTAATTCATGTAGGCCAACATAAAACTCATGTGGTTGCACTGAACAGCATTTAAAACCATGTATTGCTGAAATTAGCTGACAAAGACTGTTTCAAAAGCACCACCAACAGTATTATCTACAATATGCATTTTAACCTTTATACAGACAAAAGGAGCACTGTAAACTAAATTTGCATTTCATTGCTGAAATCAACACTATCTCATAAAGAAATGATAAAACAGCAGGACAGCAATGATACCCTTGCACACTGAACACATTTCCCCTAATTACCCAAGAAAGCAAATGAAGGGGACACGGAAGCTAATCCCTCCCCTGCCATCCTTCTTGCTAGAGGAAATATCTCACAGAATAACCTAAACTCATATATTACAGTACTACCCTGTGCAGCTCTCCCTATTTCTTTATTTTTCCTTGGGGAAAAAAAAAATATAAATAAATTGGATTTGATTAAGTTTTTAAATTGGAGGATTACTGGCAGGTTTTGAGGGAGTTCCTATTGCAGTAACTGAGAACTTACTAACTTGCCCAAAATAAGGGCAAAACAAGCCCTATTCATTTTTTCAGGAATACCATCCTCTTCCTCTGCATAACAAATCTGTGACTTACTGGGTTCAGCCCAGCCCATGAATCAGTGTAATCTTAAACCCATCCAGCATGTGTAACTGCCAAGGAAGATCCTTGCAGTAAACTAGAGTGCATAACAACAAAAAGAAATAAAAAAGCAAACTTGAGTGGACTCACTCAACAAGAAACAATAAATGACTATGACCACCCACTTAATGTCTGCATTTGATGGAACCATTCCTACTGCTACCGACCATGTTTGATTATAACTTGAATAGTATTTCCACCACTATACCTTACAAGACTTTTTAAACTGCTAAAATCTTAAAAACAAACTTAAACATTTCCTTCTTCAGCTTCAGGCTACTGCTGTTGCATGGCTGTCTTCTAAGAAGTATGAATTGTTGGTTTTCTTCAATTTATATTGCTTCTTTGAGCACATTAAAGGCTATGATTATCTCGCTCAGATAATTCTCTTTTTCTTCAGTATAATAATTTAGTACTATCAATCCCACTCATGAGTTCATCTCTAAAATTGGTATAACTTTGTGCTCTTTGTATCCTCTCTTGCTTTTCTACAATTTGCCTTATTTGCTGCAACAAAGTGTTAGTTGCAGAAATTTTATTGAACATTAAAACCCTGTTATCTAAATGAAAAGGGTGACAAAAAAGTAAAATAAGCAAATGGATATATAGGGAAGACTTCCATGCAAGTGATGCAAACTGATATCTACAACTTTATTCTGTAGAAGGCTGACTCAATCAAAGTTGTATTATATTGACAATCTCCTTTATTAGAGATAGGTGCTAAAGTTTTGAATTTCTGAAATAGATGTTTTTATTCACTGTTTCCCAAAGGACAGTTTACTTGTAAAGCTTTCTAAAATAATAAAAAAA